TTCAAGAATCTAATTTTATCTGTCCTACACTATCGCCACAATCTATGTGCTTAGACTTTCACTTGTTGAAATTTAATTTAGTGACATTATTTCAGCGATTATTATTAAGCTAGACGTTTTTGCATCACTAAAACATTATACAAAAGAAATTCGAATTCCTTTCCTCTAAAAAAATATCGTCGCTAAATAGAACTTATCGCCAATCGCATTTCTAACAACTTAGTGAGTAGCAATTAATTTTCAACTAGTATTCTTTACCTTGCGACCATAAAATTTGCCATTTTCTTGTATGCTGCAAAGGAAAAACTTTATTTCCAATCAAAATTAGACTCATTTCAGACTAGCTATACTGCTTAAATTTTAACTAGATCTCTGTATTTGATACCAATGCAAATTATAATTTTGTCTCAAATGATACTTTTAATTTAACTAAGAATAAAAAGTAAAAGCAGTGTTCAATATAAAGCCCTGCATATCTTTTTCTAATGATCAGATTTTTACTAAGTGCCAAACGTGGCAGTTCAAACGGGGAGCCTCAGATAAGAGAATTGGAGCTAACTATTCAGCTACAGAATTTGTCACAAATACTTAGTTATTAATTATTGCTAGCTATTGAAGTCATTCTTCTGAAAAATTAAGAATGGCACTCAGTTTGTGAAAATCAGATCATTTGGAACAAAACGTTACTCAATGTGATATAGATTATTCTGCGCAATTGCATTGAAACAGATACCACAGAAACACTTTTCGCGCCGTTCACAAAATATGTAAGCTAGTGTTTGAGTCTTAACATGGAAGACCTCCAAAATCTGGTTAATCTGAAAGCAATCATATTATCGAAGTTTAACTATATACCCTTACTGGGTAACTTTAATGTAACTTTAAATTCATCCTAGAAATTGACAACCAACGAAAAAGACAAAACCCAAATATCAAGAATAAGCTATTTATTCATGGCTAATAAGAGTAGAACAAGACACAGAATTGCATGTAACTATGCATTATGTAAAAGAAGTCTTACATAAATAACAAAATTGAACAACATCTACAATGCCAGCTTGAAAAATTCGAAAGGCGTTAATTGTCATTGCAGGGTTTAGAGTAGGAACCACGGAAGTCTGTTCTCGAAAACTTTCCAACAAGTTTGCTTAGTGCAAAAAGAGATATCCAACTGAATTTAATTTACTGCTCAACCAGGGTTGGATGGCATACTCATTTCTGGGTTTACAATTATGACTGTTCAGCTCCATAAGATCGCACACTTGAAACCAGAAGACGAGAGAACTCCTGGATCGAAATAGCCTTCATGGAGGACTTACGCTGCAACTAACCCGCATTTGCGTTACATGGAGAGGGAACCATGAAAACCTTCCACGGTTAGCTCGACGGTATGGTGATTTTAACGCACGAACCAGGATATTTTACGTAGATCACAAAATTCTGAGATTCTAACCACATCTTTGGGAATGAAATCATCTTCGAGGAACAGATCAGTCTCATCTCATTTGACAAACAAATGGCCCTTTCAATTTCATGTTTAATCTCGGCAACACTTGAATCTGGAGAATGGCGCAAAATTCATTCTCTGCTAAATTAAATTTATTATAAGTAAAAAGGTCTTGGAGGAACAATAGAAAAATAAAAGTTCATCTCACCTACTAGGCCAGCAAGTTAATTGGAAGTAGGCAGCAACTTATTTGAAAAGACCTTCAACTTTTCAGAGATTAGTCAGATGCTTTATTCGAAACAATTCATCTTTTGCAATTTCAGCTCCCCAAAGCGTGTTCACATCAGCAGCATATCAAGAAGAAGATTCTGAAAAATACCAGAGACAGAAGCAGTACCGATGCACAAAAAAAGGCTGAATTAAGCATAATCTAATCCAATAATAAGGCAGATAAAACCTATATTCAAAACTAATATTGTTTGAGATAAATTAAATCATTGAACAATATTAGAATATCTGCAGTAATAAACGTATCACAATAGATTAGTTAAATACAAGTTATAGTATAGTTAGTATATATTATATATTTGTAGCATACTAGTAAGTAGTGTATTAGTATATATATACAATATTAAATATAATAAGTACTTTTTATGTTATCAGAATGTTATCAGAAAATGCTTCATTGGCTTACATATTATAAATTTTTATTTTGCGCTTTAATTTTTATTCATATTTTAACTCTTTTATCAATTCCAAAAGATGTTGATTTTAACAAAAATCAAAAGAAAGCAAACAAAGATAGAAGTCCAGTTCAGTTTTAATTTAGAAATGAAACGATCAGAAGTATAAATCAATCTATAAAAATAATGGTAAACACTTTGAATACTCTTTAAATCGAACAAGTTTTAAATTTAACTATATATTTTGCAGCATTTTCCTATCTTGACATCGGTGTTTTCATCCGTTAAAAAATTGATTCTGTTCAGGAAAAAAATTTTTTGTTGAAAAAAAATTGTTGAAAATTGTTGAAAATTCTTGTTCAGGTTCCAATTTATTTTAATATTCTGAACATTAAGGAGGATTTGTTCTCTTCGATACAGTTCAAATTCGATACAGATTTATACAGCTTATACAGCTTTATACAGCTGTTCATAACAGATTTATACAGCTTACGAAGTTCATTGTACACATGTGCTTTCATGAATGGTTGCTTTACATTGCTCCCAGAATCTTCAAAACTATATTTTAAATTAATAATTTCTGTGTCAAAAAATTCTTATTCGTACAGATATCAAGACTTTAGAAGCTAATCTTAAGAAACCGATTAAAGTTTAGTTCAAATTTAAAATAACATCGTTAACATTCTCACAATGCAACTATCACTTAACTAATCTAACACAAGAGAAACGCTTTTCCCCTTAGCTAGAAAAATATTATGAAAGTCTAAATTGATAAATTACAAGCACTATAAACGTTCTTGTTCTAAGATTAAACGTTAGTAAAGGGCTGGGTGGTTTTTCAGGGCACGGACTTGCAAGCTTTAGTTACATTCCAGGACCTTACTCTATCCTACCTCAGCCCTTTAGATTTTAATTTGAGCGGGATAATAATTTAAATAATTTTAAAGCCAAATATATTTAGCTGTAAGCACCAGAGTTCTTCAGTGACTTAGGGTCACGGACATGTGGGCTAGCATCACATGTCCAGGACTACCCAGTTCTTTTGACACCCTGGTTCTTACTGCACCGTAGTCGAGAGAACGGAAAAGTTCCGAAAAGGCTGAACAAGTGTGAAGCTCGAAGATGGAGAAGAACGGCCGTTTACTACTCCCAATTCGGATTTCACACTTGTTCAGTCATTTCCTCTGAAATTTTCCGTTTCATAACACGTTCATCTGTGTTTTACAACGACATCGCAACGTAATTGCGAAAAGTCAGGAGGTTTTAGTAAATATCAGACAAAAACGCAAGACACGAAAGTTTTAATTGTGAACGTTCACAGTGTTAACAATCCTTGATGCTCAAAAAGTTTAACATGCTCACATTAATTTTAAAGCTATGCACTATTTAATAAACCGATATAAGAAGGTTCTTCGAATATTTACTGTTATCAGTGTGACCCCACAAAAGTTAAAATAAAACAACGCATTGCTGCTGGAAATCGTTCCCTTAAAGGATTAACAATTTTTCTGCATTCGAAATGAATAAAAAAGAAAAACGGAAATGTTTCATAAAATCATCATTATACATTTGTTATTGTGTGGCTCAGAAGCCTGGACTATGTCAAAACCAAATAGATTAGTCCTATTCGAGAGAAAAGCTTAGGATTCTGGCGCACAATGAATATCAATCTTACATTAAGCCAAGGATTCAGTCAAATTTCCAGTTTAAATAGAAATGGCTTTGGTTAAGATAAAAATAAAGGTTACAGTCTCACCTACTAGACCAGCAAGGAAACAAAAGATTTTTTGTGAAAAGTCATTCATATCTTTAATTAGTGCAGCCCTTCCTAGACTCGTCTGATTCTTTATTCCTATACAGTTTTAGCTTCCCAATAAGTGTCCCTCATCAGGATATCAAGTAGACTGTCAAATCAATTCTGAAAAATACAAGACACAAAAGCAGTACCTATGCACAAAACAAAAGGACAAATTAAACAATATATACCAATAGGGTAGAATAAACGAGTATATTTAAAGCCGATAATATGGATCGTTTTTTCTGCACTAGGGAGCGCAGCAAGCTCCCGACTGTCTATACTTCCGGGTTACTGCTTTTGGAGTGTTTGAAGCCACTTGGATCACAATGTGTTGATCAATACGATGTTTTGAGACTCTGAAAAATGAAAAGTGCATTAATTTAAAAGTTCTTAGAAGAACAAGGACGAGAAATGCTTATCGTCTCACTTACTAGGCCAGCAAGAAAGCGATTGAGCATTGCTTTGTGTGTAAAACAGTCATTTAATGTCTTCAAATTTTTCCGTTCATAGACTCGTCTGAGGCTTTATCTAAAAATTGATCCTGTACAGTTTTATCTCCTCGAAACGTGTTCATCAGCAGCATAGCAAGACAATTCTGAAAAATACAAGACACAAAAGCAGTACCTATGCACAAAACAAAAGGACAAATTAAACAATATATACCAATAGGGTAGAATAAACGAGTATATTTAAAGCCGATAATATGGATCATGTTTTCTACACAAGGGAGCGCAGCAAGCTCCCGACTGTCTATACTTCCGGGTTACTGCTTTTGGAGTGTTTGAAGCCACTTGGATCACAATGTGTTGATCAATACGATGTTTTGAGACTCTGAAAAATGAAAAGTGCATTGATTTAAAAGTTCTTAGAAGAACAAGGACCAGAAATGCTTATCGTCTCACTTACTAGGCCAGCAAGAAAGCGATTGAGCATTGCTTTGTGTGCAAAACATTCATTTAATGTCTTCAAATTTTTCCGTTCATAGACTCGTCTGAGACTTTATCTAAAATTGATCCTGTACAGTTTTATCTCCTCGAAGCGTGTTCATCAGCAGCATAGCAAGACAATTCTGAAAAATACAAGACACAAAAGCAGTACCTATGCACAAAACAAAAGGACAAATTAAACAATATAAACCCATAGGGTAGAATAAACGAGTATATTTAAAGCCGATATTATGGATCGTGTTTTCTACACTGGGGAGCGCAGCAAGCTCCCGACTGTCTATACTTCCTGGTTACTGCTTTTGGAGTGCTTTGAAGCCACTTGGATCACAATGTGTTGATCAATACGATGTTTTGAGACTCTGAAAAATGAAAAGTGCATTAATTTAAAAGTTCTTAGAAGAACAAGGACCAGAAATGCTTATCGTCTCACTTACTAGGCCAGCAAGAAAGCGATTGAGCATTGCTTTGTGTGTAAAACAGTCATTTAATGTCTTCAAATTTTTCCGTTCATAGACTCGTCTGAGGCTTTATCTAAAAATGATCCTGTACAGTTTTATCTCCTCGAAACGTGTTCATCAGCAGCATAGCAAGACAATTCTGAAAAATACAAGACACAAAAGCAGTACCTATGCACAATACAAAAGGACAAATTAAGCAATATAAACCAATAAGGTAGAATAAACGAGTATATTTAAAGCCGATATTATGGATCGCGTTTTCTACACTAGGGAGCGCTGCAAGCTCTTGGCATTATCAAGAAATTGATCCCGTTCAGTTCTAGCTATCTGAAATTTCATCAGAAGCATATCAATTAGTAAGAAAATTCTGAAAATTACAAGAGAAAAAAACAGCACCTAAACACATAACAAAAATGATAAATTAATCGAGATCATCTAATCCGATCACGCGGAACTTGCAGATATTTAAACCAATAGTTTGAAATAAAGTGCACAATTTTAATTTAAAAAAAAAAATGGGAGAATTGAACTTAAAACCAAACAAATTTTAAAGATGCGCATGTTAGCAAAAAACAGTACTTCCTCAGGGGAGACAGCCATGCTAACATGCTGAAGCCTTTTTTTTTAGTCAGTGGTTAAATTAAAAATAGTCCCCTGATGAAGTATTGTTTGTGCTAACATGCGTATCTTTGTACTAGCATGCGAAAAATAAAAAATTAACTTAATATTCTAAGGTGTTACTAAAAGGAAATTTGGCTATCTTCAGCTATATGGAACAAGTTTTTAAAATAAAATATTAAATTAGATTTAAAAGTTTAAATTTTATACCAGATCTAAATGCTTTCTATGTATACAGTATTCATATATTTTATTGTAATGCGAGAAAAATGGAGTTTTTAAATTATTTATTTTTCCTTTCGTAAAAAGTCGAAATTTTACATAAAATCTAATTAGATACATATTTAGTATAAATCTAGAAATTTAGGATTAATTTATATTCATCCCAGGCAAAAGTCTTCCAATATTATGCTAAAAATGTAAATATGACAAGTTTTAAAATAAACTACACATTATTACACTATGTTTTCATGCTTTATAAAACAAAAATGAGAAACGAAGAAATTAAGTTGAACAGAACTGAAAAAGTTTGATGGCATGTAATGGTTTAACATTAAGAATTAAACTTTTACAAAATTACTGAAAAAAATTGGATGCATTCTTTTGATCAATGGAAAAGGGAAAATTTTTTTTTTTGAATACCTCCTTGAAATAGTGAGCTCTAGCAAATGTAATTTACGGTAATCCTTGGCAAACTAAAATGTCTCCCAAAACAAATCAGAAATGAACTTTTCCGTAAAGATTAATCAAAGTTTGTTTTGTTTCAACGTGAATCTATTGTAAAATTCTTTGACAGCTTTTTGTGAATCGAGTACTAACGAATCTTATTTTAGTTCTACTCTTCCTTCTTCTAATTGCTTTGAAATCCTCATTAATGTAGTCAACACTTTATTCTCTAGGCCTGCCTCTTGTTCGGGTTCTTTAAAAGGTAGGTACTTTATTTACGTAGCAATAGAGCTGAACAATGGCGACGGTCTGATACGAGAAGAGGTCTGATACGGTGCACCCTCGATCCTTTTGCAGGTTGATCCAAGTGNGTTCGTTTGACACCCTGGTTCTTACTGCACCGTAGTCGAAAGAACGGAAAAGTTCCGAAACGGCTGAACAAGTGTGAAGCTCGAAGAGGGAGCAGAACGGCCGTTTACCACTCCCAATTCGGATTTCACACTTGTTCAGACCACTCCATTGAATATTTCCGTTTCATAACACGTTAATCTGTGCTTTACAACGACATCGCCAAGTCAGGAGTTTTTAGAAAATCCCAGACGAAAACGCAAGACACGAAAGTTTTAATTTTGAACGTTTATAGTGTTAAAAATCCTAAATGCTTAAAAAGTGAGTTGTGCACTTGCTACTCCGATAATTGCTACTTAATTATCATCATGATACAAGATACAGACTTAAGTAGTCGGGCACTTCAACTATTTACTGACCAATCAAAATTTGTGAAAGTAAAATATTGAGATAAAGCAACGCATTCTGCTAATCGTTCTCTAAATGGATTTTATAACTTTTTACATCTTAACCGTCGTTGAACAGTAAACCTAATTTTGGGTTTACGACAACTAATTTTCAACTCCGTATCCTTGTAATTTTGTACCCAATCCAGAAGACAAGGGAACTCCTGGATCAATCAACGGGTGAAATTTGCCTTCGTGGAGGACTTTTTTAATGGAACTAACCCGCATTTGCGTTAAGTCAAGCGGAAAACCACGAAAACCTTCTGCGGTTAGCTTGACTGCAAAGACGCTCTAAACCACGATCCGTCTACCACTGAGAATATTTAACGTCAGCACAGGGGTTGGTGCATGCCGGATACGGATAATTCGTATCGATCACCTCATTTGAATTCACACATCCCCTGAGCCACCACAAGAAATTTTTTTATGAAATAATTGAAGGAAAAACAGAAATCGTGCTATATTAAACTATCATTAGACATGTGCTCGCATGTGACTCAAAAACCTGGGCTATGTTAAAATCAAAGTAAGTTAGTCATATTCGAGAGATAAGTTGGATTCTGTGCACATTAAGTAACAATCGTACATCTGATTTATCTCCCATAACATTTAGAGCAGTAAAATTCTCAACCTTTTTGTTACGGTACACTTTCAACTATTGAAGAAATTTGAAATTTGACGAAGAAATTTGACGGCACACAAGGAAAAAAAAGTTTATAATTTGCTTACTTAAATGCTATAATTATAATTTTGAATGTAATTTTGAATACTATAATTATAATTTTGAATGTGAAATGAAATATGTACTACTCAAACAGTGCGTTTATTAAAGGATTAATTACAGGTTAACTGTTATATTTTTTTGCTATTTACAGATTAGCTTGTTTTTAATAGTTATTGTTAGTTTTTTTATATTATTTTTTGTGATTCCATGTTAACTTGTTTTTTTTCTAATTATTAATTGTTAGCTTTTTTGTTGGTTATCCTGTTCATAACTATTAATTGCATAGTTTATTTCAATGGTTAGCATTTATTTCCTTTTGAGTTAATATTTATCTTGATTTTATTTATTTACAATTTTAATATTTATTAACTTTCCTACTTATTTGAATATTTTAAGATTGGCAGAGACAGAACTATCGCCGACGAAGATGCTTACGCCTTTAAAGCGTGGAAAAGTATATTTACTTTAATTTGAACTGCACTTGCAATAAAAAAAAAAGTATTATAATTTTTTACTATAACATTTCTAAAATTTGGGGGCACACAAAAGTGCTGCCACAAAAAAAATTAAATATAGTTTGAGAATATCCAGAGCCTCATTTTAAACAGATTGAAACATGAACCAGACTCACGTGGGTTGGCTTCATTAATGGAAATTTCAAAACACTAGAAGTGAACAGCTGGGAAATCCTGGCGAGAAAGAGGACATCTATCAGACATCTAAAACACTTTAACGCTTCACAGTGAGTTGCCGTAGATTGTTTCGAGGAGCTAATCTGAATAGTTATAACCCATTTAACGCCTCATAAAATCTCAACACTAAAAGTTACTAAAAGAAGCACTTTCAATGTTCCGATATTCTACTTTTGATGTAA